AAGAGCGTGGTGCCCCCGGACAGCACAATCTCCCCATAGAGCATCTTCTGGATGTCGGCGTCACACTTGGCAATGCTGCAGGAGACCATTTTGGAGAGGCCCGGGTTTTGGATGCCCAGCTGCTCGGGCGAGAACAGGGCCTCGGGCGCCTGGTACAGCTGGTCCCCGATACGGATGATGCTGCCGTCGGGCAGCTTGTACTCCCTGAGCACCTCCTCTGACCTCCGCGACAGCTCCTTCTCCGGCTCCAGGGCCACATAGCAGAGCTTCTCCTTGATGTCGTCCACCAGGGCTTTGTCCAGCACGCACGGGAAGGTCCTCCCGCTGGCCAGCAGCAGCCGGGTGAGGTGCTCCGTGATGTCTCTCCCCGCCATGTAAAGCTTGGTGATGGCGTGGGGCAGGGAGTAGCCTTCGAAGATGGGGACGGTGCAGGTGACCCCATCCCCGCTGTCCACCACCAGGCCCGTGATGCAGGCCGAGGCGTAGAGGGCCAGCACGGCCTGGTCCGACAGGTAGAAGGCGGGCACGTCGAAACTCTCAAACATCACCTCGGCCATCTTCTCCCGGGTCTCCCTGGGGTTCAGCGAGCGCTCCGTCATGAGCACCGGCCGGTCTCTGGCTTTGACCCCCAGCTCCCACTCGAAGAGATGCTCCCAGAGCTTCTCCATGTCGTCCCAGCCTGTGATCAGGCCTCGCTCGATGGGGTAGTGCAGGTGTAAGACCTCGTCCCTGTGCAGGGCCTCTTCCCCCACAAAGTACTTCTGATTGGCCCCCGCCGAAGGCATCTTGAACTTGGGGTGCCCCACGACGGAGCGGACGACGTGGCGGGGGCCAACCTCTCCAGACAGGCCTGCCTTACAGAGCCCGGACCCATTGTCAAAAATGACAGCTGGAGAATCTAACACGTGTGGGTTAAACATGCCTGTGGCATCCTCATCCGCACTTTGCCAAAATGAAGATGGAAGCCTCCTGGGCCACTTTGTGACGTATGAGGCTCCTCTGGAAGTTTCGAGGGCACAGGATTCCACGGTTCTCGGGGCGTCTCTCAGGCAGGGCTAGCAGACGGCCGGTCCCCGAGAGCCCCCTCCACCCCCACCTGCGGATCTGCTCTCCTCTCAGGAAGCCTGGGTTGCTGAGGCCTTTTCAGGAATGACGTCCCATAGGTAACAATCCAGCCAAGGCAACCATTGTCCTCAGCCAGCATCAGAGGGCCTTTGGGGGTGGGGGCTTGGTGTCTCTGCTCGCCCCCCTGGTGAGACTCCAAAGGGGGAAGTCCAGCTGTTCCCGCAGGCCGTGTTGAGGAGCCTGTTGTGGAGCCTGGAACCAGGGAAGCAGCCCAGCCTGGGCCAGCCCATAAAACTGGCATCTCTGGCCCTCTGTTTGGAGGGAGCTGCTGTTTGGAGGGTGACAAGCACACTTCTCTTTGCTAAAGGGGAAGACCAAGCACCAGGCAGAGGCCCAGCTTAGAGAAGCGATGCCCAGGGCTCTGACACAGTAAGCACTCAGAACATAGTTTTGGAATGCAGACTCCTCCAGGAAGCTCTCAGGGATTTCTCTTCTCTTTACCTCATGAACCCTGACCCTGTCTCACAGGGTAGCTGCTAAGCAGAGCCCTCTGGGCCTATTGGCTCTCTCTCGGGGCACATGTACCCCTGCTCTGGCTTGAGGTCAAGGGCCCTCCTTGCTCTCTGCAGCCCCGGAAGTGCTGTCACAAACAATATCCAGTGGTTGTGGGCTGGGAACCCAATGGCCTGTGAAGAGAGGGATCTGAGGTTTCATCGGGGTGGGGGGCAACCCTGATTGGAGCCCCGGACATCTCTATTTTGGGCCTGTGACACAGTTGGCCACGCCGCCCACTGAAACACTGTCAGAAGTGACCAGGTCACCAAGTCTGAGGCTGAGAGTGAGGCTGCAGGTTTAGCCAAGCCCCTGAGGACAGGGGGCGCCCACTCCAGCCTCCCGGAGAACCCCTCCAGCAGCCCTGCGATCACACCCTGGGCTGGTTTCCAGCTCAGGAGGAGAAACTGGGAGGGAGCTCAGACTAGGGAGCCATGGCTGACTTTTTTCTTGAGGAAGCTGGAGCCGGTCTTGGAGAACAAAATGCTAACTTGGTGTTCTGTCATGTCCAAAATCACCCTCTAGGCCAGCTCCTTCCCGACCAGAAAGCTTTCCAAGGAGACTAGCTCCCCTCTAGGTCCCCTCACCTCCCTCTGCAGGTGGCCCTCTCTGCATGTCCTGCTGGCCCTCCTAAACCCCCCAGCAAAAAGTGAAAAAGTGTCATCATGTAGGGTAGATGCACGGCGTGGGTGTGTGTTATAGACACGTGGTGTAGACCAGTGACATGGACGTGCAGCTTTGTGGGAACCCCTGGGGCTCAGCCTGGGGGGAGTCAATAAACACTTGGTATTACTGAGATTCTCCCACAAAGGACACCTCTCCGTGGAAGTGGAATCAGATGCACGCTGGGGTTGATGCTGAGAGAAGACGCACCCCCCAGACTATATAGCCCAGAACCACAGCTACCACTGTGGGGGCCTCTAAGAGTTGGGGCCCAACGTTCAGGGGAGCACGTGTGCCTAGAGGCTGCTGGGTCGAGGACGGTCCTTAGGGCGCCGTGTCTTGGGGGTTCCAGCCTGCTTACATCACAAAAGCCCTATGCACTCGGCTTCTCAGGCTTTGCTATTCCCCATTGTTGCCAAACACTCCCGGATGAATCAGGAGGAGTGTGACCTCAAGCTTTTTCAATTTTGGCCCTAAAAGTGGCCCACGTGGGTGGTGATGTAACCATGCTGGGTGCAGAGGTCAAACGCAGGGGCGGGGCCCTTCCGTGTGTCCTGGGGGCCCAGGGCTGGCTGGGGCACGGACGTTTGCAGGGGGACAGAGCAGGAGGAAGGACAAACGTTCACGCAAAGCTCGGACTGACCAGCTGGGTGCGTGGGTGGGGGGGCTGTTCCGAGGCCTCACCGCACCCCGCAGCTGTGACAGCACACAGCACAATGTGTAACAATGTCCCGGGGCAGCCGGCCAGACCTGGTGCAGGTCCCACGGGCACACACAGCCCCCTCCCTGTTCTCTGCAGGTCCGGCGTGCATGACAGCCAGCAGGGCAAGTCCAGGCCCCTACACCAGTTGCCAAACCTGTAGCGGGCAGTTCTCTGTCCCCCTGTGACTGCTGCCCATCCCAGACAAGCTCAGACCCTCGAGGACAGAGCTGTGAAAGCTGGGCCATCCATCAGGGCTGAGGCTCCAAGCAAAGCCATCCAAGGAGTTCCAGGACCCCTTTTCCTAAATGTTTTCACTCTCCCTGATGAGCCTGCGAGAAGTGCAGCCCTTCACCCTGGGTCTGGGACCCCAGCCACTCCTGACCACCCACGACGGTCACGGCCATTGGGTGCCACACGCCCGGCAGAGCAGGCCCCGGGGAAGGGGTCCCCACTTTGCTCCTCTCTGTGCACTTGGGCAAACCAGTTCTCTGCTGGCCACTGGGCCAGCTCCCCTGCCGCATTCC